ATCCGTCCATGATCCGTCCATGATCCGTCCATGATCCGTCCATCATCTGTCCATCATTCGTCCATCATCTGTCCATCATCTGTCCATCATCCGTCCATCATTCGTCCATCATCTGTCCATAATTTGTCCATCATCTGTCCATCATCCGTCCATCATCCGTCCATCATTCGTCCATCATATGTCCATCATCCGTCCATCATTCGTCCATCATCCGTCCATCATCCGTCCATGATCCATCCATCATCTGTCCATCATATGTCCATCATTCGTCCATCATCTGTCCATCATCCGTCCATGATCCATCCATCATCTGTCCATGATCCATCCATCATCTGTCCATCATCTGTCCATCATCCGTCCATCATATGTCCATCATCTGTCCATCATCCGTCCATGATCCATCCATCATCTGTCCATCATTCGTCCATCATCTGTCCATCATCCGTCCATCATCCGTCCATCATCTGTCCATCATCCGTCCATCATATGTCCATCATTCGTCCATCATCTGTCCATCATCCGTCCATGATCCATCCATCATCTGTCCATCATCCGTCCATGATCCATCCATCATCTGTCCATCATTCGTCCATCATCTGTCCATCATCCGTCCATCATTCGTCCATCATTCATTCATTATCTGTCCATCATCCGTCCATCATCCATCCATCATCTGTCCATCATTCGTCCATCATCTGTCCATCATTCGTCCATCATCTGTCCATCATTCATCCATCATTCGTCCATCATCCGTCCATCATCTGTCCATCATTCGTCCATCATCCATCCATCATCTGTCCATCATCTGTCCATCATTCGTCCATCATCCGTCCATCATTCGTCCATCATCCGTCCATCATCTGTCCATCATTCGTCCATCATATGCCCATCATTCGTCCATCATCTGTCCATCATCCGTCCATCATCCGTCCATCATCCATCCATCATCCGTCCATCATCCATCCTTCCTCAGGCCTCAGGGCAGCAGCAGGACTTCGGTTTAGTCTGGACCTAAAGGTGGACTTTGGTTTAGTCTTGATGTAAAGGTGGACTTGGGTTTAGTCTGGATCTAAAGGTACTTTGGTGTAGTCTGGACCTAAAGGTGGACTTTGGTTTAGTCTGGACGTAAAGGTGGACTTTGGTTTAGTCTGGTTCTAAAGGTTGACTTTGGTTTAGTCTGGATCTAAAGGTGGACTTTGGTTTAGTCTGGGTGTAAAGGTGGACTTTGGTTTAGTCTCTGACAGTTTACTTTTGAGAACTTTCCAGAATCCAGCAGGAAACCTTTGAAAGTGCAGATGAAATCCTGGAGAGAAAAGCTGTGCCGTGATGTCACCGTGCCTCATGAAAGAAGTCCAGACTGACGTTTGACACAACCCTGTGATCCAACACGGGTGAAGCTTTGAGGAATAACAGTGATGGAAACAGAAAAAGGTGAAAAGTTTCAGATGGAATCTGTGAGCTTTCGTTTGGTTGTGTTGATGAACCAAAAGGAGTCTCTCCTTCCTGCTCGTCTTCCTCTGATGAAAAAACACGTCGCCTGCTCAAGGACCTGGAATCAATCCAACTGAGCACGGTACGCTTGAAGAGGACCAGTCTAGTTCCTGAAAACTGAAGCAGCAAACCGATCTTCAGCTCACCTTGAACTTGTTGCCGACGCTGATGAAGCTCAGCTTCCCGGCCTTCTGCTTCAAGTCTTTGTTGTTGTTGTTCTCGAAGAGCTCGCGGACAAATCGGTCTTTGGACTCGCTGACCAGACACTCCAGAGACATGTGCAGAGCGTCGTTGTTCTTCTCCACAAACTTGGTCTGAGAGACAAAACAGACGGAATGAACTGAATACAAGCTGAAGTCATCAGAACAGTAGCTAAAGGTAGCAAGTGGTAGCCAAGTTTGCAAAGCTATAGATAGAAGCTAAAAAGAGAAAAACAAATGTTAAAACTAAAAGTAGCAGAGCAAACACTAAAGTTTGCTAAACATTAGCCAAAAGATAAAATTAAGTTAACAGATGCTAAAAGTAGCCAAAACAAATAAAGCTGAAATGAGCAAACCAGAAGCTAAGTTAAATGTGGCAGAAAAGTAGCTAAGAGCTAAAAATACTAAAACAGTACTCAAAGCTAAAACCAGCAAAAGGAAGCCGAAACAAGAATAGAGCCAGTAGATGAAGCCGACTACTGAAGGAGCCGAATGTTTTGATTTAAGAACAGCCGAAACAAGGTGCCGCAGGGTTTCCTGAACGCACCGTCTCGTAGCACACGGCTCCTGCGAAGTGTCGGATGATGAAGCCTTCATCGTCTCTCACGTTCCTGTGGACCGTCAGCTTGGACTTCCTGGGGACCTGCGGGACACAAACAACAGCTGCAGGTTCTGACTGCCTGTACGGGCCGGTCCAAAACAAGTTTTAGTTTAAATCCAACCGGTCAGAACCAAAAAAAGAGAGCTGACTCCATCAGGAGCCGCAGAAAGAAAACTTCCGTTGTTTATTCAGAGTCCGCAAGGTTTTTATTTCAGACCTAAAAAACAAATATTTCATGATTTTACTAAGGATGCACGAGCCCCTTTTTTTTTAACTTCCGATCTGATCACGATGCCTAAATCTGGATATCGGTCGATTCCGTTCCAATATCATGATCATCATTGATTTTATACGAGGCTGTAATAATCTCCTCTCTAGTACAATCTGTACAAATCCATGCATGCACGTCCAAAAAGGCAACTTGAGGTAAGTTTTATTAACGTTGGACAAGTTTTAAAGTTAGAATTAATCCTGTCAACACAAAACGTGTTTTTTATTATTCCTAGCTTTAAAGCAGATATTAAAGTGATTAAATGGCTTCAAACATCTGGTAAGTTCATGACATAACCAACAGACTCTGTTTTAGTGTTTCATCACTTTATAATGGAGCTGTTTCTGTATCGTTGTTTTTAAATATACGATTCTCAAATCGTAGTTTGTATGATCGTCTCCTGTGGTACTGATAAATATCTCCTGCAGGGTAAACTAGATCTGGGCTGCAAGTATCGAGCTGAGAAGTCCTTTGTTTCTACAACTGATCGCTGCTGATCATCAATTATGATGAAGTTTAGTAACTTGTGTGTCAACGCTCGAGGCTTCAGGGCCTCTTCTTCTTGTTCGGTCTGATTCCTGCGAGCAGCGCTCAGTCTGACCCTCCTCTCAGACTGAAACCAGACTGAACAAGAACAACACGCCGCTGAAACCAGGGAGCTCAACGTCCAACGTAAAACTTTACGGCGGTTTAATGTGGTGCTGTGCTTGATCAAGGTCGTATTATAGGTCGCGATGGAGCTGCTCCTCTCGGTGCAGCGGCTCTGCAGACATGGCACGTTGCGGTCTTGTGGTGTTTCTAGTGTAAAATACTTTCGCACAATCTGTGCTGTTAAAAACAAACAAACAAACAAACAGTGTTTTAACAGTAGCTGTCATCTCCAAACATTTTAATATTTGCCCATAAAGTCTAAAAGTGCGTCACCACCAGCAAACTGTAGGTCAAACTCTACTTTGCCTCAGCCTGACAGACAACACTCAGGGCACACATCCTAATTAGAGTCCTGAGTGAAGCTGCAGGTGAAGGAAGTCCTCCGTGTGGTTCTCACCGTCAGGCGGAAGTGCTCCTTGTGTTTGTTGTGCACGGCGTCAGTAAAGTGCTGGTCGCTGGGCTGAGGCAGTCGGTTCTCCTCGTCCAGGATGTCCAGGATCCCCACCAGCTTGGCCTCCACCAGGTCTGCAGAGGAAGAGATGTGTTTGAAATGAAGCAGCTCGTGAAGCTGCAGAACATCTCAGTTCCACCTAACATCCACTGCTGCTCCCAGGAAAAACCTGCTGGACCCGACTAAACCTATTCGGTAACTCTAAACAAGCTCAGGCTCCGTCCCCACCAGAGAGGGGATGGTCCAAATCCCAAGAACCAGCTTTGGTTAGCTTCAAAACCCCCACCTGCAGCTGCTGGACCCGTATGGCCCCTCCAACAAGAAGAATCCATCAGTACGTTAGAGCTCAGCCTGACTGGGCCCTCAACGAGCCCCTCTGCCAGGCCTGGCTCAAAGGGGCCCCTGGTGACTCATGTCCTGCTGGGGGACATGGAGCTCCTGTCTTCTGTCCAAACAAGGATCCTGAATCGCTTTTTGTGTCTCAGAGGACCACCCGACCAGCAGCAGAGCTGTGAGGATCATTCAGGTCCACAAAGTTCTCCACCAGGATCAGGTGGACAGTCAGGGAGCAGACATGTACTGAGACAAGACCAAAGACACAACCTCTGGATGGAGACAAAGACACTAACTCTGGACGAGGCCGAAGAGATGACCTATGGACGAGGCCGAAGAGATGACCTCTTGAAAGGGTCAAAGAGATGACCTCTGGACGGGGCCAAAGAGATGACCTCTGGACGGGGCCAAAGAGATGACCTCTGGATGGGGCCAAACAGATGACCTCTGGACGGGGCCAAAGAGATGACCTCTGGATGGGGCAAAAGAGATGACCTCTGGATGGGGCCAAAGAGATGACCTCTGGATGGAGCCAAAGAGATGACCTCTGGATGGAGCCAAAGAGATGACCTTTTGATGGGGCCAAAGAGATGACCTCTGGAAGGGGCCAAAGAGATGACCTCTGGATGGGGCCGAAGAGTCGACCTATGGACGAGGCCGAAGAGATGACCTCTTGATGGGGCCAAAGAGTCGACCTATGGATGGGGCCAAAGAGATGACCTCTGGACAGGGCCAAAGAGATGACCTCTGGACGGGGCCAAACAGATGATCTCTGGATGGGGCCAAACAGATGACCTCTGGATGGGGCCAAAGAGATGACCTCTTGATGGGGCCAAAGAGATGACTTCTGGATGGGACCAAAGAGATGACCTCTTGATGGGGCCAAAGAGATGACCTCTGGATGGGGCCAAAGGGATGACCTCTTGATGGGGCCAAAGAGATGACCACTGGATGGGGCCAAAGAGATGACCTCTGGATGGGGCCAAAGAGATGA